CAAATTTAATAAGTATTCCCTCTATTCCTGCATCTGCAGAGGGAATTGATGGAAATTGGTGCAACCTTGTATATGAGTCCTGGTGCTTTTTTAAACACACACACAAAAGCCCTTGCTAGAAAGTACATGGTATGGCAACCTTGCTAATGCTAGGCAGATCTGGGGCCAAATCTAGAGGCCAAACTACAAGTCACAGTGGCTGTGAGTGCACTCCATGGCCACCAACACCATTTTAGAAACATCTGTGGTTCTTTAAAAATTGCTGTGAAACCCCAAACTGGATTGGGTGTGTGGCATTGTGGCCCCAGGAGCTCGTTTCCACCACCACCACCCCAATGACTTTTCAGGTGCAGCAACAGCTGCAGGGCTTTCTGGATGACACTTCCGCGCTTGACCCCTTCCAGTCCGGCTTCCGTCCGAGACACGGGACGGAGGTAGCCTTGGTCGCTCTGGCTGATGACCTCCGGAGACATCTGGATCGGGGCGGGTTGGCAGTACTGTTGTTGTTAGATCTGTCAGCCACGTTTGACACGGTTGACCACCAGTTACTAGTCCACCGCCTCGCCAACGTGGGGATTCAGGGGCTTGCCCTACAATGGCTTGCTTCCTTTCTCCAATGTCGGGAACAAAGGGTGGCACTACGGGAACAGCAGTCCAGGAGACACCCGCTTGAGTGCAGTGTGCCCCAAGGGGCCGTGCTGTCTCCAATGTTATTTAACATCTATATGCGCCCCCTTGCCCAGATTGCCCGGAGGTATGAGCTGGGGTGTCATCAGTACACTGATGACACCCAGCTCTATCTGATATTGGGTGGCCAGTCAGACTCCAGACCGGAAGACCTGGACTGGGCTTTGCAGGCTGTGGCTGGTTGGCTTAGACTGAATCGGCTGAAGCTGAATCCAGCAAAGACAGAGGTCCTGTGCCTGAGTAGGGGTGGTTCGGGGGTGGGGATCCCACTTCCCACCTTCGGGGGGGGGCCTCCATCGGTGCCAGCGCCGGAGGTTTGGAGTCTGGGTGTGCTCCTGGATCCCTCCCTTACTATGGAGGCCCAGGTAGCAGCCACTGCTAAGTCGGCCTTCTACCACCTTAGGCTGATTAGGCAGTTGGTTCCCTTCCTTGACCGCACTGACCTGGCCACAGTGATCCATGCAGTGGTTACCTTGAGACTAGACTACTGTAATGCTCTCTACATGGGGCTGCCCTTGTCGCGGATCCAGAAGCTGCAGCTGGTGCAGAATGCCGCAGCCAGGCTGTTGATGGGTCTCCCTAGATGGGAGCACATCCAGCCTGTGCTGAGGACACTACACTGGCTGCCAATAGTGTACCGAATCCACTTCAAGGTACTGGTTCTTACCTTTAAAGCCCTATATGGCCAGGGTCCGACATACCTATGGGACCGCCTTTCCCCATATATACCACAGAGAGCACTACGGTCTGGGTCTCAAAATCGGCTGACCCTCCCTGGCCCGAGGGAGGCCAAGCTAGCTATTACCAGGGCCGGAGCCTTTTCAGTGGTGGCCCCTACCTGGTGGAATGAGCTCCCAGAGGAGATCAGGGCCCTGCGGGACCTTTTGCACTTCCGCAGGGCCTGCAAGACGGAGCTCTTCCACCAGGCATTTAATTAGGGGCCGATGCTACTGCAGGCCGCTATTGCAGGCTGTTACTGCAGAGCTCTGGTCTGTGGTTTTATTAATAATAATAATAATAATAATAATAATAATAATAATAATAATAATAATTCAATTTATTAATTGCTCACTCCTGCAGAGCTTGCTGGCTCTGAGCTATTTACAGTTACTCATTCACGCAGGACTAACAATGATTTATGGGGGTAAGAGTGGACAACATATATCTTTTAAATCACACACATTCACAGTCGGCGAGGGTTTGTTCAGCTGCAGGGTCAGACGTATTCCGTCGGCATATTCACTTCGGCTCGGCTAGATGATGTCAGCTTCTCCAGGTCTTGCAGTGCCGCACTGCCACCGCCTGGCCGGAACGACCCATTACAGGCTTCTCGGAGTCGAAGAGAATTATTCTTAAACTTTCAATCTCGCAAGCTGAGCTTTCTGGTTGCCAACTAACACCTCCCCCATTGGGGGGGGGGTCTTAACATCCAACTGATTATGAGCAGAAACATCATGGAACATCTGGACAGTGGAAATTTACTCTGACAATATACCATCTAGGTTAATTTTTAACTGCCGCCAGCACTTTGTATTTATATTGTTTTTATTTGTGTGGTTAAATATTTGTGTAATTTTAATGTATTTATGTTCTTATGGAAGCCGCCCTGAGCCCACTTTGCGGGGAGGGTGAGGTATAAATTTGATAATAAATAAATAAATAAATAAACAGCACCTGATCCAGATTGGGGCCTCACAGCAATTTTGAAAGAGTTACGGCCACTTCTAAAATGGTGTCAACAGCCATGGAATGGACCCATGCCCACCGTCATTTGCTTTTGGCCATAGGAGAGGATTGTTGTATGCATGATTACTCACCTTTATGCATGCTAGTAGCATCTGCTTGACTAATGTAGTAAATAACAAGCAGTAAAATAGCTGGGCATTTACTCAGATCCAGCAGGTTTCTTTTCATGTGTGTTTTTTAAAATTTCTGATCTGGCAGGATAGGATGAATCTATAAAAGAGTCATCCTAAACATTCATTAAATCAGAAGCACAATTTATATGCTCTGCTTTTGCAAAATGATGAATAACCTAATGGGATTTTACTTGCCCATCACAAGGAATTATTCCTTTTAGAAGAATGGCAAAGAAAAATGTTTCAAGGCTGATTAAAGAAAAAAATACCAGCGAAGGGTGATAGCTGAAGACATTGTTTTGACAGTGCCCATTAATTGTTTCAGTTGTGCTAATCAGGATCCCTCTGTAGTTTTGCACTCTAATATATTTACCCTCGATTCTGTCCAACAGATTTAGCCGGCAATGTATTGTTGATAAGGACAAGAGAAATCAATGCAGATACTGTCGTTTAAAGAAGTGTTTCTGTGCTGGGATGAAGAAGGAAGGTAACATTTAAAAAAAACCTCTCTTTCAGAGAAAAACACTTTATATCAATTAGTAAGAAATAAAATCTATAAGCAAATAACTAATGTGACTTTCTGCAACAGTAGAAATATGTCTCTAATAAGAAGTTGGTTTGTGATGTAATTTTTGTTTGATTAATGCTAAGATTTGAGATAAGGGTGATTTTTTTTCTTTAAAAATAATATCTTCTGCTAGTATTATTGTATGCTCTTTTGTAGTTTTAAATAAATTGAGTAAAAATGAGTAACTCTCTTCAAGGCAGTGAACACCCAATATGAGTAGGAGAATTGTAGTAGCAAGATCCAAGTTCATATACCTGCATTGGTATGAAATGTCCAAGTAGCCTTGCATAAGTCAGTCTCACATGGCTTTTTCCTGTAAAATGGGAACATTAATCAGTTGTCAGGATGCAAAGAGTCATTGGTGTAACCACTTTGTGCCTGTGTAAGTAAATTAAAACTGTTTTCTGGATTTTGTCACATTGAAGCATATCTAGGGTTTGGCTCCCAGTGGCTGTGATCAGATGGGCAAGTTGCTCTGATGTCGTGGCGGCTCCCTACCAGATTTGACAGCAACATCTGCCTCCTGTCCCTCAATTGTCGGCTCCCCTGTCCTCACCCCCAACTTTCCCAACATTGGATAAAGTCCGGTGTTTACGACTGAACTAGTCTCACTGCAGATTTCTGGGTGTCTGATCTCTCCCTTGCATGCTGAAGCCACTTGGTGAGGTTTGACGCTTCTAGTCCCCAGCCACCATTTTCTTTTTGCAGTTAGTGATGTACACATAACTGCATATCCACTCCTAGAGAATAAGCAGTTACAATCATGTGCATATTATAGGGTTGTTGTTGGTTTTTTTTAAAAAAGAAGCTGCCTGCCCACCCTCTCCATGATGACCGTGCAGCGGCGGTCTGAACAGTCAACCATGAGGTGAGACAGGAATAGGGTGGTATGTGATTGCACCTCTCTGGAACAAATATCTCCAGAGAAATTAGAGGTGCAGCCAGACCATGCCAAAGCCTGCCCATATGATCTCAGTCAGCCGTTACCATTAAATAATACAAAACACACAAAAAAAGGTTACTATTTGTGATATCTTTAAATGGAGGTTAATCATAAGGCAATTCACTCTTCTTTGTATGAAAGTGAAACATATAGTTCTTGGTATGTGTTTGATTTAGTGATTTTTTTGCATAAATTAGGATATCTTAAAAAAACAAAAACTTACCCCATCTTCCCAGGATTCCAGTTGAAATCTTGCCTGGTGCCTGATTGTCACAGATAAATGAGACAGTAATGCCCAACCTCGTAATAGACTAGGGGAAAAGATTATCAAGGTGGATTTTCTTTTGAAAGACTATAAATAGAAACATTGTCAACTGAACTCTGGGCTATCAATACTCAATTACATCTAGTTCTGTTTGCTCTCTGTGTGGGGGAATGAATGAGTGAGGAACTGCTTCATGTTTACTTCCTCAAATAAGCCTTTGTTTTGTATGGCAAACAGTATGTTCTTAGTTATACAATATTTTGTTTGAAGATCCATTTTTATCCATGAGCCATCATGGACATAGAATGCCCCTCAGAGTCTTTCTGGATCCAACATACTTCTCACATTCCCAAGCTATATGCTAATTTGTTGCCAAGATTCCTAGTACAGGAGATTCTCTAATTAGTTTAGGTATGTGGATTGGAACATTGATACCTTCTTGTGGGTCTTCCTGATCTTTTAACTATTTGGTCTAGCATAAACTGGGATGAGGTCATAGCCATAGGATTCAGGCACTTAAGCTTCTCCTTGACATAAGAGCCACACCCTGTCTCAGAGTGGGAGAAAGCGCTATAACAGAATGATGTTCACATTATTCATATATTCATTGGGCTAACCTTAATGTTTTGTTAACATAGCTATGACCCCGATCCACCAATCCCCTTTACGTTTACAAAATGTTTTGTATACACAAGGTAGCCTTGCATAAAGGCTTGCATATACATTTTCTCTCCTCTCCCTGCCTTGACAGCCTTCATCACCCACTCTAATTCATGCTGAATTTGAAACATCGTCAGATGTAAAAAAAATAGCTAGTGATGAACTGGAAGCAATTTATAATAGATTTTTAAGGTGTGTGTGGGGAGGTGAGCTGCCAGTGAATGCAAAGCTAGACCAGCACACCTCCGTTCCAGTCTCATATTCACATTCTATCAACCCTCCAAGCTAAAGAATGCCATTTCATCGTATTTTCAGCATAGACTCTTCACATTTTAAAAACTTCTGAAACTGACTAGAAGTTCAGTAAACTTTTAACATGAATTTTGTGCAGGTAGCACATTTATTTTTAAGGAAATTTGTCATATTAAATAAAAAAGATTGCGTCTTTAGATGCAGCCACACCATTTATGCTAGATGATCAAAGCAGTTAGGTGCTTATCCCTCTGGTATAATTTTATATTTAAAGTATAACTACACTATGTTGTCTAGCTGCCGGGTTAAGGAATGAATAGATGGCATTTCTCCAGTTAAAGAGACTGGAGCATCATTCTTGATTCACGTCTACATGACCATTTATCACTTAGTGTTTATCACTGTACGACATTTCTTATTATGACCTTAATAAAAGGCCCATCAGTGAATGTCCTTGGCTAAGAATCTAGTGCGCCTTCACTATAAAGTGTGTTCATTCTTCATATAAACTGCGAAACACTATACAGTACACAGAACACATTTTTATTGAAGCATTGGAGCTACCTCTCAACTTCTCTGATGCAGATTGCTTCCCTAAAAATAACAAACGGATCATTGGAAATACAACTGCTGCTCTTATAAAAGGTTATGAGGTTCAGTGTGGAGTAAAGAAATATGTTGATCAGAATTGTGCTTTCTCTCCTTCATGTGACCTTGGACATAAAATAGGTTCAGGAAGTCTGATGGATACCTTTATTTATCTCTTTCATTTTTGTATTAAAACGCACACCTTATTGCTCTTGCTTTCCAGTATACCATTCCCTTGCACTATTATTTCTCTTCCATACTCTACGTGCTCAGAACTCTGCTGTTTAATATTGATCTAAGAAATGTCAGTGCTACTTTCTTAAAGTTATCTCTGGCTGGAAGCAGGCAGCGATTAATTTTCAAGAGAGTTGAAAGTGATTTGAGAGATCTCACACCTGATGGTGTACATGCGTTATGCAGCTTTTGTCATGTGTGGTGAGACACATTTTGGAAACACTACAGAGAGAACTAAAGGTCTGTAGATGCCACAAGTAGCAATCACCCTTTCACAGCTCCTTCAACTCTCCTATTAAGTTTGGATCCTCAGAACCACAAGTCCAGGGTGGATCTTAGTTTTGCTTTTTTCCCCAGCAGGCACCTATGATCACAAAAAAAGAAGATGCCAGGGATTTGGAGACCCTCATAGTGACAATGCACCATGCCATGTCTGCACTAAGGAAGGGAAGTGGAGCAAAATCACTCCATCTGTCAGATTCTTCCTCCCTACTGCAGCCCCCTGTGCTGTGGAGCATTTTGTCCATGAGGGACCCCAACATCACCTTTTGGGGAATCATAGGGGGCAGCTTGGGGAAAGGGAAGGCAGAGGTGACTTACTTCTATGAGCACAAAGAACCCAAGCTATAGTGGCTCCAGCCTTTTGTGAAAACACACAATGGCATCTTTTACCAGCCAGAATGAGGCATGAGAATACTTCTTCGTATACACTGCCTGGCATCCTATAGTTTTGCTTGCCTAATGGGTAATCTAGCCCTGAATGTAACAAACAAATAAAATATTTTTTAAAAAAAGTCAATTCTACCTGAAACATTGCCATTGCCAACTCACTTGTTAACATGTTGAAATATTCACATGTTATAAGTCAGTACGATTCCCCCATTAGCTGTCAGGAACATGGTTGGTGGAGATGGATGGTGTGGTTATACCTTCTGTGGGGAGTGAATTTGACATTATAGCAAGGGGTGATTAAAAAGTCACCCCAGGGACTGCCTTTTCACTTAAGAAATAGCCCCAAGTTCAGTAGTACTTACCCTAATTGGATTCTAGGGACATTTATTCTTATACCTTTACTTTCTCTGGACGAACATATTTTTATCCCTCCCTTCTTCCAAGGAGCTCAGGGCAGAGTTCATGGTTGGCCCCTCCTGTATTTTATTCTCACAGTCTCTTGTGATGTGGGCTATGAGCCAAAAGTCATGCCGGCCACATGACCACGGGAACGTCTTCGGACAGCGCTGGCTCTTTGGCTTTGAAACGGAGATGAGCACCGCAACCCTAGAGTTGGATTCGACTGGCTTTCGAGCAAGGGAACCTTTACCTCCTGTCTTAGTCTGGCAAGCTGGCTTCTGACTGTCTGAATGTACATTGTGGCCAGTTGTTTCCCTCACAATCTACTGTTCATATAGCTTCCTAATAACTCTTTTGAAAACCTAATTTAAATGCAAATTAATTACAAAGTTCTTCTTTTCCAGCTGTGCAAAATGAACGGGACAGGATCAGTACAAGACGGAGCACGTCTGACGGCAGCAACAGTCCTTCTATTAACACACTGTCCCAGGCTGAAGTGCTTTCTCGTCAGGTACAGCATAAAGGCCTAATGGGCTAGCTTGACCTTTTGAATACTTTCTGTGTTGATTATATATAAATGAACCTACCCTTTTCAATTTGCAGTACTGAAATAAGAAAGGAAGTTTTGCTCAAGAAAACAATTCTTTTTGAGTGGCTTTTACAATAATGCCTTATGCACTTTCAGAATACTTAACAGTTGATTTGGAAAAGGCCATTAGCCCCTGTCAGAAGTTTCATAAGGCTCTTTAAAGTTTTAGATTTCTCCACTTTGGAATATCCTTCCAAGACCTGGTCTGATCATTCCTCATTCCCCTTTCTGGTATTCATTGACCTTTGGATGCCCCATTCCTTCTCTTTTTGTTCTGTATTCCCTTGGCCTTGTTGTGTGGCTAGATAAGTGATTGTTGGGAAAAGGAAAGTCTCTAATGTTTCCTAAATGTATCTGAGCTCTGTGGTGGTCCTATAGCTGCTGCTGCTGCTGTTGTTGATGTTGGACTAGATGGTCTGTATGGCCCCCTCCAACTTTATGATTCTATGATTTTATGTTATTATTAATTTCAATTTGTATCCCGCTCTCCCCCACTAATGTGGGGCTCACAGCGGGTTCCAACATATAATAAATAAATCATACATCAGATTAAAATAGTTCAGTTAAAACAGTTCCAACAATACTACTTCCATGCTGGCCCATGCATTTACTGCTGCTCCAGGGAGAGAAAGGGAGGGGGTAAGGTAGTGGAACTGCATAGTTTGGAGTTCCCTGACCTCATCCATATGCTTGATGGTACATCTCCATCATACAGGCCCTGCGGAATTGTACCAAATCCCGTAGGGCCTGGATCTCAGTTGGGAGTACATTCCATCAAGTTGGAGTCACCACTGAAAAGGCTCTGTTTCTGGTCAAAGCCAGGTGAATACTCCTTGGCCCTGGGATCTACAATGTGTTGTTATTAGAAGAGTGTAATGCTCTTTGGGGGGGTATACCAGGAGAGGTGGTTCTGCAGATATATTGGTCCCAGACCGCATAGGGCTTTGAAGGTTAAAACCAGTACCTTGAACTTGATCTGGTACTCAATCTGGAGCCAGTGCTGCTGGCAGAGCACTGGTTGGATATGTGTTCTAATAGAGAGCCAGTTTGGTGCAGTAGTTAAGTGTGTGGACTCTAATCTGGGAGAACCGGGTTTGACTCCCCACTCCTCCACTTGCACCTGGCTGGATGACCTTGGGTGAGCCATAGTTCTGGTAAGAGCTGTTCTTGAAAAAGAGCAGTTTCTATCAAGAGCTCTCTCAGCCCCACCTACCTCACAGGGTGTCTGTTGTGGGGAGGGGAAGGGAAAGGAGTTTGTAAGCCATTCTGAGACATCTTTGGGTAGTGAAGGGTGGGGTATAAATCCAATCTCTTCTCTTCTTCTTCTAATAGGGGCTACAGTCTTTAGGCTTGGTGGCTGCTGCTAGTATTGTCAAAGACATTCAGAGATGGGGGGCTGGACAGCATCCAGGGAAGTTGTTGGTTCTGTGTCTTTTTTTCTATGACAAGAAAAGAGAGTCATATTCCCAAGGGCATGTGGCAACTGACACCTGCTGGTTGTACTTTGCATTTGGTGTTTATTGTGTGATTTTGGTTCAGTGGTTCTTTTAATCTTTATCACTTCTATTAATAAGATGCTTGTACATTAAGATGCTTGTACACTGCCTTAGTCTATTGTGAATGGCTGAGTTCTAAAATAAATAAATGAATGGGTTCATCCAAGAGACATGATTTTCTATGGCAAGACCTTGTCTCAGGAACCACCCCTTCCTTCCCTCCTCCTGCTGCCTCTGGGGAAGGAAATGGCATGTGTGTGTGGGGGGGAAATGGGTCCAAAAGTCTGTTTTTAAAAAAGGATAAAACCAACTCAAAATGGAATCCTGAACTAGTAAGGACATACCCAAAAATTCAGGATAATGGAACCAGTGTCCTCCTTGAAATCTGGATACTAAATTAATGAATTTTTTAAAAAACTGCACACCCCTAGTTGGAATAATTGGAGGTCCTAATCTTTTTTTTTTAATTTCTACATGATGAACAGATCCCTGTTTCGAGCCCCAGTGCTAGTGCTGATATCAATGTTAAGAAAATTGCCAGTATTAGTGATGTATGTGAATCGATGAAGCAACAACTCTTGGTCCTTGTAGAGTGGGCAAAATATATTCCAGCTTTCTGCGAATTACGACTGGATGATCAGGTATGACTTAATGTATTGGAAAGCTTTAATTATGTTGCTCTGAGGGTTACATGACATCTGCCGGATGATACTTTCTTTCAGTTTACCTTTAAGGGAAGTCTATACTAATAAGCCAAAACCAAAATCGACAAGGCCAGGACATCGGGAAACTTCTAGGGATCAGCCAATGCTCCTTATTTCATTTTCAAATGGCCATCTATAATTTTTGTCAGTAGTTTTGGGTTTCTACTTTTTGATGTCTATTCATTTGCATTGTGTACATGTGCTGTATATTTTTATGTAGTCTGTACAGTATATAGAGTACTAGTTCTCTCTGTATAATATATACCACAACCATTTGTAATTTATGTATTCACTTTATTTGTAGGCTATCTTTCTTGTTGAAACTCAGGTCAGATTACACAGTGTAAAACAATGAACAGTGCAATAGGACTAGAATTACAAAAATTAGGGAAAATGCAAATAAAACTAGATGTGGTATGTTGTAAACAATGCAAAAAAAGTTAGAACTTTTAAAGTAGAAAACAATGTAGTAAGGGCATGTAGTAAGGGCATGATAACAAATGGACTGCAGTCAAGTTCCCTTTGTAAAAGCACCCTCCTGAACCAATCCAGCATGCTACAGCTGTACTCCCTTTATAAAAATGCCCCGGTGAGCAGTTCTATTTTGCATAGTTTGCAGCAGGGCTTTTTTGTAGACAAAGCCCAGCAGGAACTTATTAGCATATTAGGCCACACCCCCACGTTACCAGAAGTAACCTTTTGCTTCTTATTCTGTTTACCTTGTTTGCTGTCAAACCCCAGGGCTTTTTTTTTTGTAGCAGGAACTCCTTTGCATGTTAGGCCACACATCCCTAATGTAGCCAATCCTAATGAGTTTCTGCTGTTGGGTGTGGCCTATTATGCTAATGAGTTCCTGCTGGGTGTGGCCAACTCGGGAGCCAGCCGGAACTCCGTTCCTGTGTGTTCCTGCCCAAAAATAGCCCTGGTTTGCAGACTGACAAAAGTGTTGAAACCTTCCTTATATCTTCAAGTAGCCCATTCCTTATCATGCCCCACATATCTAAGGGACCGCCTCTTCCCATATATGCCTCGAAGAGCATTCCGCTCTAAAGAGCAACACCTCCTGGTGGTCCCTGGCCCGAAGGACGCCTGTCTATTTACTGACAACTGGCCTTTAACTCATTGCACCATCGGGCCAGAACTGTGTAGCCAACTGAAGCTGTTTCAAGCTGTACTTATTGTTTTAATTGTTAGAACGTTTTATCATGTTTTAAACTGAAATTGTATTTATTATAATGATGTTACCTGCCCTGAGCCCATTCGCGGGACGGGCGGGATATAAATCCAAATAATAAATAAATAAATTCCACAAGCAGGGAGCCACAGCAGTGAATCCACATGTTCAGGCAGCTGTCAGTCTTACTGATTAAGCAGTGTGGTGCCTTGAGAAAGCTTTGTTCAGATGAGTGAAGCTGTCATGCCACAACATAGCAGAAGAGGTAGCTGGCCTGCAGATATGATGCTCAAAGGCCAAGAAGTGTTTTGTATGTGATAACCAGTACCTTTAATCGAACCTGGAAAATGATAGGAAACCAATGGAGAAATAGTAACTGAGCTGTGGCATTCTGAACTAAATGGAGTTTCCAAGTTGACTTCAAGGGCAGACCCATGTAGAGTGTATTACAATAATCTAATCTTGAGGTCATGGTCGGCATGGATCCACATGGCTGCATTGGCCAGTTGAAGATAGGGAGCAATCTTCCAGGCTGAACGATGGAGAAAGCCTTTTTGCAGCAGCATTAACTTGCATCTCCAGCAATAACATTGAGTCTAGTATAACTCATAGACTCGTAACCAAACCAAGGGTCAGCTGAACCCCAGTGAATGTGGGCAGCACAGTGTCCTACTCACCCTTCTGAAGCAGCATCTCCTCCATCTTTTCAGGATTCAGTTCCAACTTGTTCATCCTTACCCATTTAACCACAGCAGTCATATGGTAATGATGAAAAATGTGACCAGTTCATGGTTTAAAATGTGTGATGAAGAAACAGAAAATGTCATGGAAATTTTTACAAAACTGTGGGCTTGATTTGCACAAGGGAGAAGTGAAACACTGCCGTCCTAAGAACTGTTTCCTGGGAGTAAGTTCCATTGAATAGACCCAAGTATGAGTCTGAGTAGAACCTGCTTATGATTCCCCTTTCCGAAGGTTTTTTGTGGTGAAGTTGCAGGAATGAAAAAATTAAAAGCATCCCTAAGCTGGTCAAATAATGTTTAGAGATTTGGGTCCAAGAGAGAAATTTAGTGGGATTGGGTACAGCACAGGACAGAGCAGGATCAAGTTCCACAATATCACACAACAGAGTCAGAAAGCCAGAAAAGGAAGACATTTGTGGAGGATTTAAAGCAAAGAGGAACTACAGTTCAATGAAAGAAAACTAGATATAGGAAGAATCTCATTTCCCTGAGGCCCAGTCAAGGACCTCTTTAAGGGAAATGCCAGCACCTGCTTCCTCCTTCGTTTTTAATGGGCTGGTGGGAGACCGAAGCCAGTGAGGTCAGAACAATTATATTATTACCATATGCAAGAAGCAGAACTCAGGGAAAGAATGCTCGTTTTCATGAGGTCTTCAAATGTCACACACATGCAATCACAAATTGGGGTGTGTGCACAAAAAACAAAGGGACAATAGAGTGAACCTGCAGCAAAAGAATAAGTTCCCATTGTATCTCGAAAGCAGAAAGCCCTGCCTTCAAAATGATAACTTACTAATTGAGCTGTAGCTTGAGATAGTAGCAAGAGCTGGCACAGATGATTTATCTGCATCCACTTGCATCTTTTCGATTTTACCATAGTTTATTATATGTCCACTCTTTTTGAAGGTTGCTCTGCTGAGAGCACATGCTGGAGAACACCTGTTGCTGGGAGCAGCAAAGCGCTCTATGGTTTACAAGGACATTATTCTTTTAGGTAAGGTTATTTGATTTTAGAAAATGCATGATGCTCTGTATTAGTTTCCGGGTGTAGCGAAGAAGAAGGTATGTACATACCAAAGGCCTTAAATCTGGTCTGTGTATGTGTGAGAGGGAAGAGAATATGGGTATAGTGCCCCAAATTTCTTTCATGGCAGTGGAATTGTACAGTAGGCCTGGGACTGGGATCTCCATACAGTGGGGAAAGTATGTATCTGGCATATGCTCAGAATGAAATGCAGAGGTCTTACCTTTCAAGACTGGGAGGAATGTGCGCCTCAGTTTACAACTATATGGGAGGGAATCTATCTGAAATTGACTTCTCTTTTATAATCCACCCTATTTGAGCTTCCAGCTGCACACAGTATACCCATTTTATTATAATATATACCCAAGGATTTGTTTTCATAAAAATGAGGGTTTCAGCCCTGTACAAATTTATGAACTGAAATAATGTTGTTCACAATGATATGCTCATACAGGAGGGCAATTGTGTGCTGGCACATTATACTTGGAAAGAAACAGTGGTGTATATTCAGAACATATTCCTCTGCAGAAATGTGCTGTAGAAACTGGTGTTGAATTTGGGGGCTACAGATACTGTTAGTAATACTGATTGCATTTTATTTCTTGAGGCAACAATTTTGTCATCCATCGCAATAGTTCTGAAATTGAGATCAGCCGAGTAGCAAACCGGATTTTGGATGAGATAATAAGACCGTTTCAAGAAATTCAGATTGATGACAATGAATATGCTTGCCTAAAAGCCATCGTCTTCTTTGATCCAGGTGTGTTTCAGATTCCCCCCCCCCCAAATGTAATATATAGTACAATCAGGGAGTCCTTCTGACAGTCATGGGAAGATTTTAACCTTTCTGGAAATCTAGCAATACCATATCTACATATCTTTTGTTGAAAAGAAGGCTTGGTGGTTATGCCGTCCGACATGTCTGGGTCAGATTCTATGTACATCATGTTCTCTGTCTTCAGTTGTTGAAAAGAAGGCTTGGTGGTTATGCTGTCCGATATGTCTGGGTCAGATTCTATGTACAGTAAGAAGGCCTTAAGACATCATGTTCTCTGTCTTCCGCTTCCTTCAGTGGCCTTCTGAGACCTCTAAAAAGCAGATGTCAGAAGGAACAACACAGACAAATGTCTGTATCAGGAGATGCAATGTAGATGGTATGGTGCAGGGCAATGTTCCCTCTAAGCCATGGAGTCTCGTGGGCAAAAATTCTACTTTGTGAGCTACTGGCATTAAAGTTGTGAGCAAACGATTTGGCTACTGGATAAATTAGTTTGCTCTGGAGCCATCCTTCCTGAGCTAAGGCAAAAATGTGTGAGCCGGAGGCTAAAAGACTGTGAGCTAGCTCACACTAACTCCGCTTAGAGGGAACGCTGGTGCAGGGAGTTGTGTAAGGCCAGAGAATTTGACAAAATCACCCTTCCTTTCTCTTATGAATGGAATAGTTGTTCAGTTGCACTTTCTATATCAGTGGGCAAGGAAGATGGAACAAATCTGCCTGATTTCTTCCTTCTCACTCTGGTCTTCCATTCCCTGTGGCAATTTGCCTGCAAGGCTCCCCAACCCCCAGCACCAGCTTTTGTGAGTCACGTGGGGTATTGGGCAAAAACAAAAGCAGGAAACAATCTGATTGGGCACTCAGGTTCATACCATCTGGCCTAGTTCATGTTTTGAGACTATCCAAATGCAGTCTCACAGGAATATTGGTCTGCAGCATATTGGGACATTAAAATGGCTTCAGGAGCAATCCAAGACACGGGTCTCCTATGGTGCTTGGAGTACATTGAGTCTTCTTGCCCTGGAAGTGATCAGGCTTATCACCTCCTCCTGCACCACTGCTGGCTTTGGCACTGCCAGCAGCACTGTGAACTGGTTGGCTTTCTCCTGGCTACCAGCAGCTCAACAAGGTGGTAGTAAATTAAAGGGCTAATCTACCCAACCTTGTCCTTTAGGGCACTGGCAGACCTCATCCCTGTGATCTCTCTCTTTAGATGTTAGGCCTCCTCTTTCCCAGAACCTCTCATGGATAACTACATAGAAAAATGGTTTCTTGGTGTCATTTCTGAAGGCATACCTGAACATTTTCTGTGTCTCTCCCCTCCCCCCCCAGTATATTCTTACATAATATCCCCTCTGTTTCAAGATGCAAAAGGACTGAGCAACCCAGCAAAGATCAGGAACATGAGATTTCAAGTCCAGATCAGTTTGGAGGATTACATCAATGACCGCCAGTACGACTCCAGGGGACGGTTTGGGGAGCTGCTGCTACTCCTGCCTACTCTCCAGAGCATTACCTGGCAAATGATTGAGCAAATACAGTTTGTGAAGCTGTTTGGAATGGTTAAAGTTGACAGTTTACTTCAGGAAATGTTACTAGGAGGTAGGTGTGTCAATAAGTTTTAAGAAACTTTCTTCTATTTACTATGTTCAAATGAGTTGAGATGGGGCAGGAAGAAATCACTTCATTTGTCAGGTGAGAAATGCTTACTTTCTTCCTCCATTGGCCTGTGATATTGGACCCCTCCTGCCAGTAGGAGTAATAGTACTGACCAAGTGGACCGTTGGTCTGATTCAGTACAGCATAGCTTCAAATGCATCCTAAGTGATGAATTTGGAACCTTTGGTTCTAGTTGGAGATACAGCAATCAGACTGGGGTA